GTGTGTGTGTGTGTCTGTGTCTTGTGTGCGCGTGTGTCTGCAACTCGGTGCCTGTGTCGTATATAGAACCATCGATCCAATGATCACCCCGGATGCACCGGCAGTTTTAGGAGGCTCGTGTCCGAGGGCAGGAGCGTGTATTAGCGTGTTTCTGCGGGTTTGGGTTTGCCGGGGTCAGATCCCATGTTTTTGGAATCCAGACCGGACCGTGTACTTGCGTGTATTTGCGTGTCAGTGGCTCTATATGAGCCCTAAAAACGTGTATCTGCGTGTACCTTGAAAACCATACTGAACACAAACTCTTGGGTCACCGTGTCAATTCGTGGTGCCTGCTGTTGCAAATGCATGGTCGCCGATCCGAAATCCATGGCAGTCGTGCTCGATTTATAGTAGTGATCGATCTTATCCTCGCTGGCTGGAAGATCCACATGGCTCCGACGAAAGCAAGCTTCAGGTGGCCCTCGACCCCTTCCTCTTCCGAGGAGTGGGTTTGGAGGCCTCGTGCGGGGCTGCCAAATGGTGTGTGGGTTCTTAAGGCCGCCCTTAGGGAGGATGCAGGCGATGTAGGCCAAAGCAAAGGGAAGTCAACGGGAAAGGGAAGCGAAGCCAAAGGCGACAAGGGCAAAGGAAAGGGAAGCGAAGCCAAAGGCGACAAGGGCAAAGGAAAGGGAAGCGAAGCCAAAGGAGAGAAGGGCAAAGGAAAGCGAAGCGAAGCCAAAGGAGAGAAGGGCAAAGGAAAGGGAAGTGAAGCCAAAGGAGAGAAGGGCAAAGGAAAGGAAGGAACGGAAGAAGAAAGCAAAGGAAAGGGACAGGGGAACAAAGGCTTAGGCCCGATTAAAGTATGAAAGCTTCAGTTTGGTCAGCGGTGAGCGTGTGTTTTTTGGGTGCCCTGATGTTTACCGTGATTCAGACACAGGGAAAGGAGAGGGGAAGAGCGAAGGCGCAAGCACGGAGGGTGACAAAGGAAAGGGAAAGGGAAAGGGAAAGAAGGGCCCGAGCACTAAGGGTGCTGAAGGAACAGGAAAGGAGACCCCAAGCACCGAGGTGGGCAAAGGAAAGGGAAAGGACACTAAGGGTTGCGAAGGAAAGGGAGAGGAGGGCTCGAACACGGAGGCTGGCCAAGGAAAAGGAAAGAAAAGCGAGGGAAAGGGGAAAACTGCCTCGGGCAAAGGCGCGGGAAAGGAGTCGCCAAGCGCCAAGGCTAGCAAAGGAAAAGGAAAGGAGTCGGCAAGCGCCGAACCGGGCAAAGGAAAGGGAAAGGAGTCGGCAAGCGCCGAGGCTGGCAAAGGGAAGGGAAAGGAGTCGCCAAGCACCGAGGCGGGCAAAGGAAAGGGAAAGGGAAAGGGGGCCCCAAGCACCAAGGGTTCCACGGGAAAGGGAAAGGAAAACCCAAGCACCGAGGCTGGCAAAGGAAAGGGAAAGGAAAACCCGAGCACCGAGGCTGGCAAAGGAAAGGGAAAGGAAAACCCAAACACCGAGGCTGGCAAAGGAAAGGGAAAGAAGGGCACGAGGGGAAACAGTGAGGCCAGATGCTCCGGGTGATCTTTCCGAAAATATCACACAATCATAATCTCGTTTCTTTTTGTCAAGAACACATGATATGGTTCAGCAAAGCCTGAAGGATCAAAGCTTTGACAGTCCTACCGGTGCAGCGCGAGTGGTCGAGTGCTCATCAGACACGATGTCATGGTACATGGTATGTGACATGAGTGTGTGTGACATGAGCATTAATAGATCTACCGTTTATGTGTGTGCCATATATATCCACAGCTCTAGGTCGGAAGCCCGGCAGAGATCTCTACACCCCCCCCGAAGCGGCGGCGATTGGAAGATGCGGAGTCTGCTGAGAAGACTGCACAGAAGCGGGCATCGCTTAAAGACCTGACTTGTGTCTGCTTCGGCAACATCGCACAGAGTGATTTCCTGTGTCCGCTGACAGTCTTGGAAGCAAGGTTTCCGTATGAATGGTGTGGCAGTGACTGCTTCACTCGCAAGAAGAACATTGAGAGCCACCCCATCTTCCAGGATTACTTGCAGTACAACAAGACGCTCGCAAGCCCTTTCCAGTGGGAGATGGGAAATAAGGATTGTTTCGCGCACCTGAAGATCTACAACAACTTCCTGCTGCAGCTGCTGTACCCCGACAAACTCAGCCGACGTGACTCAGGCCGGGTGGGTGGGTGTGTGGCTGGGTGGGTGGGGTGGCTGGGTTGGGTGGTTGGGTGCTTGGGTGCTTGGGTGGGTGGGTGGGTGGGTGGGTGGGTGGGTGGGTGGGTGGGTGGGTGGGCGGGTGGACGGGTGGGTGGGTGGGTGGGTGGGTGAAAG